GGAGGAGGAGGAAAAGGAAAAGGAACAGGAGGAGGCACAGGGGAGGAGGGATGAGGACGGCGACGTCAGCGACAGGTCGACCACGACGGCGACGACGGCGAGCCTCTGCGGGCGCCTCGCGCCTCTGGGGGGGGGGGGCCTTCGGCCCTCCCGGGGCCGGCGCGCGGTCCTCGGGGCGGGAGCGCGGCCAGAGGCGGACGGCCGAAGACGACGGTCGGGCTCGAGGATCCCGCGCGCGCATCGGAGGTTGACAGACCTCCTGCCCTGACACGTCGATTAAGGACTTGGCCGTTTTCGGTTCGCGAGAGGGCGTCGCGGCCGTCATTTTTGCGGGTCCAGGTCCGTCGGTTTCGGTCCCAGGCCGTTTTCACTAAGGGGAGGTCTACTAAAGGGAGGTTTGTCCACCGCCGGGTGCAGTGCCGGAGGTGGCGGCCCGTCTTCGTATAGCTGGCGCACAAGATCCAAATTGGCATCAGGGCCGCATCTCAGATGCCTCGAGGCGCCCGTCTTGAGGCGCGGCACGTGCCGTGCTCGAAGCGTCCGCGTCAGTGCGTTGCGTGTTGGCTCAGCATGTTGGTCACGTTTTGGCGAACGCATCGCGTCAGACCTACGCTTTCAGTGTTCGTGTTGAGCTCCGTCTCAATCCGTTGCGTGTTGTGCGTTGCGTATCGGGGCAGCTAAGGGCCTCCTCGTTCACCTTATCACTGACTCAACTCCGGGCGTATGATGCTCTCCCCTCGCGTCGTGCCAAAAACCCGACGGACGTTTTTGGCCGTTGCCGCTATGGTCGGCCGCTGGGGGCCCTCGCCGGGTCCAGGGGCCCTCGAGGGCGATGCGGGAATGGGTCTGAGTAGACCTTATGGGGTCGACGTTGCGAAAAAATGATGGCGCCGGCGGTCTGGGTTAGAGGTTTCAAGCGTTTTTCGTAGGTTCTCGGCGGTGTTCCAGCTTCAGGGTGCCCTCCAGCGGCGGCGCCTCGCCGAGGGCGTTGCGGGGCTGCTCGGATCGTCCCGAGCGGGCGCCCGAGAGCCGAGTTGTGCCCCGAAAGCAATGGGGCAGCGACAGGGGGGGGTGATCGGGGATCCAGGATCGAGGGAACGCACACGGGAGAAGCCATGCCGAATACGGCCCGATCGTCAGGAGAGAGCGAGGGGAAAGTAATGGCAGAGAGCGAGTGAGAGAGACGGATGGAGAAAGAGTGAGAGAGAGAGGGTGAAAGAGAGAGAGAGAGAGAGAGAGAGAGAGAGAGAGAGAGAGAGACAGGAAGAGAAAGAGAGAAAGAGAGAAAGAGAGAGAGAGAGAGAGCGGTTAGGGGTTTGATTGGCCCAGGCGTAGAGGGATACATGTATTCTCTGTTTTGCATGCGTGCCCCGATTGCATCACCTCCAGCCTTATCATACGTGAGGATGGAGGATGCAGTATGGCTTCCGCCCCTTGGCGTGTTGAGCGGATGACGAGCAACGGGTGGGCGACGAGGTGGAGGAGGAGGAGGAGGAAGAGGACCAGTGTAAACCCAAGATTCATCAGCGATGTTGGAATGAACCCTCCCTCCAAGCTCCCTCTTCAAAGGCCTCTACACGGATTCATTTTCACTGAGATATGTGCCCCGTTGGGAGACAACCGTTTGAAAATCCGGAAGCCTGCCAAAAAAACATTCGCGGGAGTTCAACGCCACGAGTCAACCTGATTGCGAAGGCTTTACGGCCGGTGCCGCCGACCCTGGAGGGCGACCCATGCGTTCTCTAATGTGGCGGGGGGAACTTCTTGGGGCTTCCTGGGGGCCTCTTGGGGGTCTCGTGGTGGCCTCTTGGGGGCATCTTAGGGCTTCCTGGAAGCCTCTGTCGCCGAGGGGTCGTCGGGCCCCCCGTCTGGGCACCCTGTTGGAGCCGTTTGGGGAGCTTCTGGGCCATCTTGGAGGCATCTTGGGCGGTCTTGAGGCTCTCTTGGGTCATTTTGGGGCTCTCTGGAGGCCTCTTGGGCTATCTTGGGGCAATCTTGGGGGCATCTGGGGCCGTCTTGGAGCGTCGGCAAGTTGAAACGGCGAGAACGCCAAAATCTGTCAAAAACTGTAAGGAAATTATTGATTTGTCCCTCTTCGTGCCCTCTTGGGAGTGCTCTTGGAGACTTCTTGGAGCGTCTTGGCAATCTCTTGGGCCGTCTGGAGGCTACTTTGGCGTCTTCGACCGATGGTTCGGCGATTCGGGGCCCTCTGGAGCCGTCTTGGAAGCCTCTTGGGGCACTCTTGGCCAGTCTGGGGGCTTTTCTAGGTCCCGGGACATCCTGGGGGGATGCGTATCTGCCCCCCCTCCCCCCCCCGGGACCCCCCCCCCCCCCGGCGGGGAAGGGACCAACGGGAAGGGGCTTCCCTTCGACTCAGCTACGACGTTGCTCAATTTCGCTTTGCCTTCGACTCCGCTACGACGTTGCTCGATTTCGTTTTGGTTTCGCTTTGGCTGGCGCGCCTGAGGGGAGGGCGACGACGACGACGACGAACGGAAGAGCATCGACGACGACGACGACGACGACGACGACGACGCGACGACGACGACGACGACGGCGACGACGACGACGACGACGACGACGACGTTCACGACGAACAGACAAGCATCTTCCACACGCCGACAGGGTCGGCGGATTTTCGCCTTTTGGCGGTCTTGAACCGCGCCAGAACGCAACTCCTGCGAATTCAGCACCGCGAATCAACTACTTGTTGCGCCCTGACAATCCTGAATCGCTCCAAAAGACAAGTTCTGGTACACGAAGCATGGGAACCAGCTACATGTCTGCTCACGTTTCAATAGAATGCTCGCGGCGCTAAGGCGAGCGCCACAGTTTGGAGAGAAGCCGCCTTCAATCCGTGAACCTTATGTATTTGTTAAGACGAGTTCGCGCGGCGCTAAGGCGAGAACAAAATGTTGAAAAGGAACCGCCCTCAATCCGTGGAACTCGTGCACGCTTTAAGACGAGTCTGCGCGTTGCTAAGGTGCGAACCACAGTTTGAAAACCAACCGCCTTCAATCCGTGAAACCCATGCACATGTTCAAGTCGTGTGTTCCGCGCTAAGGCGGGAGCCACATGTTGAAAACGGCCCGCCCTCAGTCGATGATGCTCTTGCAGTTGACTTAAACGAAGGTGCGCTGCGCTGCGATCAGGCGGGACAAACAGGTCGAACACGATCAGCCTTCAAGCAGCGAAACACTTGCAATGATTTAAGACGAACGCGCGCGGCGCTCAGACGAGAGCAATTTGAATACCACCCGTCCTTCCAAAAAACAACTGCGAACCTTCAGGACCATGCATGGTGAGGAAGTCCCAGGCGAAACGCCCAGCCCGCCCTTCGACTGGCCCCGGGGCGCGACAGGGGGGGGGGAATTAGGTATGAGGAAAAGGAAAGGAGGAAGGGGGTGGGGGCAGGAGGGTGAGGAGGAGGAGGAGGAGGAGGAGGAGGAAGAGGAGGAGGACGGGGAGGGGGAGGTGGAGGGGGATGGGGAGGAGGAGGAGGAGGAGGAGGAGGAGGAGGAGGAGGAGAAGGAGGAGGAGGATCAGGAGGAGGAAAAGGAGGAGGAGCAGGAGGAGGAAAGGATGAAGAGGAGGAGGAGGAGGAGGGGGAAAGGAGGAGGAGGAGGGCCTCTTGGGTCGAGAGCAGCGGACTCCCGATGAGTTTTTGCTCTGAACGCGGGGGCTTCGCCACTTGCAAGGCCAGTGGCCGCCGCAAGTTGCCGAGGCCATGCAAGCGGACCACCTGTTCAAACACCCTGATGCTCAGCAGGGGCCTCCTCCCAGGGACTGATGCTCGGATCGGCCCCCCATCCGCTCTCCCCGCCTCAGGCCGTGACATGCGGGCCCAGACAGTGGTCGAAGTGTGTCGTTCGCAGTGTTTTGTGTGTGTGTGTGTGTGGCATTCTCGTCTGGGAACATCTGAGCATCTGAGGAGGAGGAGGCGGAGGAGGAGGAGGGGGAGGAGGAGGAGGAGGAGGCGGAGGAGGACCAGTGCAAACCCAAGACTCATCAACGATATTGCAATGCACCCTCCCTCCAAAGTCCCGTTTCAGCGGCCCCATACATGAAATTATTTTCTCTGAGGGAAGTGTCCCGTTGGAAGGTAACCGCTTGAAATGTTTGAATTGTGCCAGAACATCATTCCTGAGTCCTCAACGTTGCAAATCACAGTTCCTGTTGCGTCTTGACGGTCGCGAATCGTGCCAGACCACTAGTCATGGAACTTCAGCACCGCGAGTTGATTTAGTGTTGCGCCTTTACAGTCCGACATCGTGCCAAAGCGCCACTTCTGGGACGGTAGCCATGAGATTCCGAATGCGCGCGGCGCTAAGGCGAGAGCTCCATTTCCAAAAGGAGCCGCCCTCCATCCGTGAAATTCGTGCGTTTTTTAACGGATTCACGCGGCGTTCAGGCGAGAGCCACACCTCGAAAGCGGACCGCCCTCCATCCGAGAAGTTCTTGCAAATTGTTGAGAGACTGCGCGGCGCTAAGGCGAGAGCCACAGTTAAGAAACCACTCGCCCTCCGTCCGTGAGACTGTTGCACATTTCAAGCTTGAGGGTCATGAATGGAAAGGAAGTCTCAGGCGAAACGCCTGGCCCGACCTTTCAATCAGTTTCGGGGCGCGACAAGGAGGAGTTATTCAAATGGACAAGGAACGGAAGAGAAGGAGGCGGAGCAGGAGCAGGAACCGGAGGAGGAGGAGGAGGAGGAGCAGGAGGAGGAGGAGCAGGAGCAGGGGGCGGATCAGGAACAGGAGGCGGAGGCGGAGGAGGCGGAGGAGGAGGAGCAGGAGCAGGAGCAGGAGGAGGAGGAGGAGGAGGAGGCGGAGACGGAGGCTGAGGCGGAGGTGGATGTGGAGGAGGCGGAGAGGGAGGAGGCGGAGGAGGCGGCGGCGGACGCGGAACAGGAGGAGGACGCGGCCCCCCCGGCGGCTCCCCGCTGCTCCCCGCTGCTCCCCGCCGGCCCACCACCCCGGGGGGCGGGGGCGGGGCGGCGCAGGACGGCCCCGCGCACGCGGTGGCCTCCGAGGCGCAGTCGCGACGGCGCTCAGGCCCGCCCGCCGCGCTTGCGTGGGGGGCGGCCGCGGCGCGCAGCGGCGGCGCGCGGGGCCTCGTCCTCGTCCTCGTCCTCCTCCTCGGGACCTCGCCCTCGTCCGCGGGGCCTCGTCCTCGTCCGCGTCCTCGCCCTCCTCCGCCTCCTCGGCCCCGCCCGCGGGAGTGGCCCACGAGGAGACTGCCTTCTGAGGCCTCCCGGATCCAGCTTTCTGCTGTGGGTGACGTGTAGCATTCTCAAGGATCCTGTGGTTTTTGCTTGCTTGCCTGCTTGCCCTTCTCTTCCACCCTCCTCAACGATCGCCCTCCTTCGCCGGCGCTCATCCAGCGGCCCGCCGTAGCCCCCAGGAGGTTGATGAGGAGGAAGGATGGGAGGGATGTTTCGAGGATTCGATCAAAATCGCGCACGAGGTTTTTCCGTGGTTTCGGCCCCTGGGGGGCCCGTTTCGGACCTTGGGGCCGTCGGACATCCACCCGGGACGAAAGACCGTCCAGGATGGACCTCGGGGGGGGTCCGTGTCAGGAGTATTGTTTTCGGTTGGTTTTTTTGGTTCAAACTCCTGGGAGGTTTAATTCAGCATCGGCGCTGTTGCAGCCGCGGTGGCAAAACCAGCCCAATCATGCCTCGTCTTGTTCGATCCCGCTCCATACAGCCTGATCCCGCTTAGTCCTTGGGTTCCATGTGGGCGGATCAGGCCCAGTGGTCCTGTGACCTGGCTCAGTAGCTTTTTTTCCGTTCTGACGAGGACCTCCCAGGAGTTGCCCCTGAACGCCTGCGCAGCCGCAGTGTGGCCTGGTCATGCCCCCTGGATGAGTCTCCAGCCGCCTCCCGACCTCTGGAGCTTTCCCCTCCCCCTCCGTCGCCGGCGTGGGCACCCACTCCAGCGTCCTCGGGGGCATCCTCTGGGTGCCGCCCCGGGGCCATCTTGGGCGACCCGGGGGCCACGTCGGAGCCTCGGGCGGGGGGCCACTTTGGGGCCCCTCGAGGGGCATGTGGGGAGGGGGCAAGGTGGGGCCTTTAGGTGGGCTATGCGGGGCTTTTCTGGTGGCATTGTGGGGCCTCTGCGCTACCGACCATTGCCTGCTGTGCGGCTTGCCAGGGGCGCAAGTAATAGGTAGGGGCCACTACATCTCACAACGCGAAGGTGTTTGCGAGAGGTATTTGGGCGTCTCCTGTGCCAGTGAGAAGCCCTTCAAGCCAGAGTGCCCGCCAGGTGATTCGGAACCTCCCATGTCTTCGTATGCATCGTCGCAGGAATGTGGGCCGTGAAAAAAGTGTTGGTATCATCACCTGTATGGCGCAACGTACGTGCACGGCCATGCAGCACATACTGTCTGTTCCCGCATTGCCCGTTTCAACTCGTGGGCCGTGGAATGTTTGCTTGCGTGCCGTGTGATTCAAAGTTTTGTTCAGCGTGTTTGCCCTGTGCATTGGACGAAACGAATCTGTAGTGTCGAACCGTTGCTTCGTACAGTGTTGCAAGCCGTTCACACTATGGCTGTTCCCTTCATGTGGAAGACGGCGTCACGACGACCGCATAGTTGCACAACATCTACTGCACCACCCACGTTACACTGGATATATTCTCCTTTCTAGAAGACTAATAGATTCTACCCCCCCCCCCGACTTATCGGGTCCCCCGCGCGTGCTGTAAATTACATATGATTATGACCACATGTCCATCTTAAAAATGAATTCATACCATCCCAACCAAGCGGGGTTCCCCCCCTTGCGGTTCCCTTGTAAAAAAACACTATGCGGTGACATGTTTTGTTCTAACATAGCACTTGTTCACGAATCCCTTGCAAAAAATGGGACGAAGTGCACACGCGCGCGTCGTGGCGCGCGCATGCCGAAATCCTTCAAAAACCTTCGGTTCCGGAGAGATTTCAAACTTGAATTTCCAAAAAACATTCAGAGACACATGGTTTCGCAACACTGGTCCCCAAAACAACTTACGCGCGAGCTCTTGCGAAATCTTAACAAAACCATAGGTTTTCCAAGATTTTCACAAAATGCTACCAAACGGGCTTCGCGCGCGCGCATGTCGAAATCTGTCGAACGCTCTTGCGCGTGTGCCGTCGCGAGAATCCTCTGCAAAAAATGGGACGAAGTGCAGACGCGCGCGTCGTCGCGGGCGTATGCCGAAATCCTTCAAAAACCTGCGGTTTCGGAAGAATTTCGAAATCGTGCGTCCCAAAAACATACAAAAACACAAGGTTTCGCAACACGGGTTTTCAACAAAATTGTGCGCGCGCGCTCTTGCGTCGTCGTCGTCGTCGTCCTCCCTCCTCCCTCGTCGTCGTCGTCGTCGTCGTCGCCGTCGTCGTCTTCTGTGTTTCCTCGTCGTCTTTGGCGTCGTCGTCGTTTCCGTCGTCGTTGTCGCCGTGGTCGTCCTTCCTCCCTCGTTGTCTTCGTCGGCGTCTCGTCGTTGTCCCTCCTATTTCGTCGCCGTCGTCGTCGTCGTCGTCGTCGTGGTCTTCACTCCTCCCTCGTCGTTATCCTCCTCCCTCGTCGTCGTCGTCGTCCGTCGTCGGCGTCTCGTCGTCGTCCCTCCTATTTCGTCGCCGTCGTCGTCGTCTTCGTCGTCGTTGTCATCGTCGTCGTCTTCCCTCCTCCCTCGTCGTTGTCGTCGTCGGCGTCGCCGTCCGTCCTCCTTCTTCGTCGTTGGCGTCGTCGCCGTCTTCCCTCCTCCATCGTCGTTGTCGTCGTTGTCGCCGTCGTCGTTTTTTCTCCTCCCTCGTCGTCGTCTCCGTTGGCGACGTCGTCGTCGTCTTCGTCGTCGTCGTCGGCGTCGTTGTCGTCGTCGTCGGTGTCGTCGTCGTCGTTGTCGTCGTCGAAAACATTGGAGACGTCGTCGGTGTCGTCGCAGTCGCTGTCGGCGGCGCCGTCGTCGTCGATGTCGCTGTCGTCGTCGGCATCGGTGTCGTGGCCAAGTGCCACGCAGTACCTACCGTCACGGTCTTGTCTGAAGATGTCTTGCGACCAAGTTGCGGGTGGGAGGGTGGGATGTTTGCACGAGCAGTGGAGAGGACAGCTTCAAGACAGTCGAAGTGGATTCTCTTTTTTAAAAAGACTAATAGATTCTACCCCCCCCCGGACTTATCGGGTCCCCCGCGCGTGCTGTAAATCACATATGATTATGACCACATGTCCATCCGAAATATGAGTTCATACCATCCCAGCCAAGCCGGGTTCCCCCCCCCTGCGGTTCCCTGTCAAATAACACTATGCGGGGACATTTTTCTTTCTAACATAACACTTTTTCGCGAATCCCTAGCAACAAATGGGACGAAGTGCACACGCGCGCGTCGTCGCGCGCGCATGCCGAAATCCTTCAAAAACATTCGGTGCCGGAAGGATTTCGCAATCGAGTTTCCGAAAAACATACAAAAACACATGATTTCGCAACGCTGATTTGCTAAAAAACTTTCGCGCGAGCTCTTGCAAAATCTTAAGAAAACCAAAGGTTTTTCAAGATTTTCACAAAATGCTACCCAACGGGCTTCGCGCGCGCATGTCGAAATCTGTCGAACGCCCTTGCGCGTGTGCCGTCGCGAGAATCCTCTGCAAAAAATGGACGAAGTGCAGACGCGCGCGTCGTCGCGGACGTATGCCGAAAACCTTCAAAACCCATCGGTTTCGGAAGATTTCAATTCAAAATCGTGCGTCCCCAAAACCTACAAGACAGCACAAGTTCGCAACCGGTTTTTAGCGAAAAGGGCGCGCGCGCTCTTGCGTCGTCGTCGTCGTCGTCGTCCTCCCTCCTCCCTCGTCGTCGTCGTCGTCGTCGTCGCCGTCGTCGTCTTCTGTCTTTCCTCGTCGTCGTTGTCGTCGTCTTGGCGTCGTCGTCGTTTCCGTCGTCGTTGTCGTCCTTGCTCCCTCGTTGTCTTCGTCGGCGTCTCGTCGTTGTCCTCCTATTTCGTCGCCGTCGTCGTCGTCGTCGTCGTGGTCTTCACTCCTCCCTCGTCGTTATCCTCCTCCCTCGTCGTCGTCGTCCGTCGTCGGCGTCTCGTCGTCGTCCCGCCTATTTCGTCGCCGTCGTCGTCGTCTTCGTCGTCGTTGTCATCGTCGTCGTCTTCCCTCCTCCCTCGTCGTTGTCGTCGTCGGCGTCGCCGTCCTTCCTCCTTCTTCGTCGTTGGCGTCGTCGCCGTCCTCCCTTCTCTATCGTCGTTGTCGACGTTGTCGCCGTCGTCGTTTTTTCTCCTCCCTCGTCGTCGTCTCCGTTGGCGACGTCGTCGGCGTCTTTGTCGTCGTCGTGGGTGTCGTCGTCGTCGTTGTCGTCGAAAACATTGGAGACGTCGTCGGTGTCGTCGCAGTCGGTGTCGGCGTCGCCGTCGTCCTCGATGTCGCTGTCGTCGTCGGCGTCGGTGTCGTGGCCAAGTGACATGTGGTACCTACCGTCACGGTCTTGTCTGAAGAGGTCTTGCGACCAAGTTGCGGGTGGGAGGGTGGGATGTTTGCACGAGCAGTGGAGAGGACAGCTTCAAGACGGTCAAGATTAATTGCACCGCGTAGATTCTCCTTTCTGAAAAGAGAATATACTCTACCCCCCCTGGACTTATCGCTTCCCCCTGGGATAGTACAATTTCGTATATATTCTGCACACGCGTCCATCCTAAATATGAAATCATACCATGCCAGGCCCGCGCATGCCGAAATCCTTCCAAAAACCTTCGGTGCCGGAAGGATTTCGCCATCCAGTTTCCGAAAAACATACAAACCACACATGGTTTCGCAACACTAATTTGCTGAAAAAGCTTCCGCGCGAGCTCTTGCGAAATCTTAAGAAAACCATAGGTTTTGCAAGATTTTCACAAAATGCTACCCAACGGGCTTCGCGCGCGCGCATGTCGAAATCTGTCGAACGCCCTTGCGCGTGTGCCGTCGCGAGAATCCTCTGCAACAAATGGGACGAAGTGCAGACGCGCGCGTCGTCGCGGGCGTATGCCGAAAACCTTCAAAACCCATCGGTTTCGGAAGGATTTCAAAATCGTGCGTCCAAAAACCTACAAGAACCCCAGGTTTCGCAACACGGATTTTCAGCAAAAGCGTGCG